TCTCCATCTGCTTTCAACTTCTCATGTTCCTCAGTAAATACCACATATGGAGCTTTCTTCTCACGGTTTGAGCTTTCCCAGAACAGAGGTGGGACTATCTGCTTTACTTCCTAATATATATATATATATATATATATATATATATATATATATATATATATATATATATATATATATATATATAAATACAATGTAAGTCAACCAGCCAGAATGGTTGGACTCATGCCTCATATTAAACAAAATTGAAATTTATATGCAAAAAGTAAAATCTGCAAATATATGACAGTTCTACAGAGTAGAGACTAACTTGGGTCTAGGCTGGAGTGGTACATATCTAAAGCCTTAAACATAAAGAGTTCACGAGATGCAGTACTAATCAGAAGGACTCTTGTAAGAGACTATTATTTCTAATAATATTACATGCCTGACCTATACCAAATATCCTTGTACATATATTTGACATGAGTATTATATGCAACAAGACTATTCAACAGCACATAATAGAATGCTTATTTAGAGTCGATGCAAAAGAAGTTACTCTCCCTTTGTCTCATATTAGTTTTCATGTATCACTTTTCAAGAGTCAAACTATATAACTTGGACTAATATTTTAAAATATATTGCAACTTGTCTTACTAGTTTTTTAATGTGAAAACTTGATCTAATCCAATTTATCATTGAAAATGAGGGAATTCGACTTTTTAAAAGGGAAACATGACAACTAATTTGGGATAAAAGGAGTACTAATTCTTGATTACATAATGAGATAAATTTGATTGGGGTGTATGGTACAGAAGTTAAGTCATCTTTAACCAGTGTAGTTCTCGTTGCATCTGAAAAGCTGGTCCAGAGACAAGGTTTGCCTATTTGGTGGTGCCAACTTTCCAACCAAATTCAAGATTGTATTGCCAGAGGAGTCTGGAGTAATCATCAAATGGTGAAGAAGTTGGCTCATCTGACAGACCAACTTAAACACATTTTTGCAGCGATTCTCTATTGCAATGAAGAAGATATTCTTTCGATTATGATCTCTATAATAAGCTAAAGAAGAAAATATTTTGAGTATAAGTTCAACAAGCTCATAGTTGTCATAGAATGCTGCAACAGGCAGAGAAGGTCCAACAATAGAGAAGCCAACTTCTTTGTCATACCTATTTTCTATTTTCTTGCATAAGCATGCTGCATACATAAATACATTATGATGAATTGACTTTTTGTCTCGGATGTGTTTTAAATGAGGCACTGCAACACAACAACACAAAAAGAGCATTTTTTTGATACTTAAAGTACAAAAATATTAGTGTAGGGGCAAAACAACAACTCTTAACTGGCCTAGAGAATATCTGAAATCCTTAGGCATATATAAATAAATTTGCTGATCGATTTATTTCAAGATTGCATGGATACATCCAAGAAAGTAATAATCAAAGTTAGAGGGAAAGAATTAGATGACTTGTATCGAAAGTCAAGGACACAAGAAGGAGAAAACTAAATGTATAATGGAGGAAAAGAGAGGTCAAGTGCATTAAGGAAAAGCCCCAGATAGTGAGATCAGAAGTATTAGGGAGCCTGGCCATTTTGCTCACTTATTTAACTCACACTAGGATAATTTTTGCAGATCTTCGTACTTAAATACGTGGTATATCAGAGAAGAATTTTAGCTACAGTAATGGAATTAGACCCGCAAATGAAAAAATAAAACGAAAAGCTTGTGGATTGGTCTAAAGTGCCTTGGAAAGGTTGGAGTAGAATGTCTTGACAAGTTATTTGATGTTATACTTACAACTGGAAAGAAGCCAACACAGTTGAGCTAGGAACAATACTTTGGTGTAACAACATGTAATGACCTGGACGGTTATTTTTGAAAAGTTCCGTGAATTGACTGTTTTTCCCCTCCTGATATTGACCCTGAGTCTGTTATGATTGAGCTTGAAAAGTTGGTTGAACTTTGAGTTAAAAGTTGAGAATTTTGTAAAGTTTTGAATTTGAAAGTTGAAAAATGCATTTAGGAAAAATAAGGTTGAAAATGACCTTCCACCTCCATGACTCACAAGCATCATACTTGGTTGAGAGTTTCTCAATTACCTAGAGTTACAGCTTCACCTTCTAGACTTCCTGGATATAATGTAGAACATAATTGGACAAAAAAAAGAATATTTTGAGAGTTTTTGTATTGGAAGGACAATTTTCTACACATAATCTTGATGTGATGCACATTGAAAAGAATTATTTTGACAATTTTTTTAGCACAGTGACGAATGTTAAGGATAAGACAAAAGACAACCCAAAAGCTATAATGGACATAAAAAAATTGCAGGAATTACATATTGGTAACATAATTAAGCCCAAAGCCAACTTTTCATTCAAATTCTATGTGAAACATTTTTTTCAATAATTCTTTCGCTTAGAAGTTTTTTTAACGGTGGCCATGTTAGAACTCGTCTTGTTGCTACTTGCCGGACTAAGGAGATATCAAAATAGATTTAGTGGGATACTATCTAATATGCTAGTGTTGATTGGTGCAAAGTAATAAGTAAGTCATACAACGAATATGATGTCTAATATGAAGTAAAAATAAGGGTTTGTAAATTATACACACGTAGCCAGACCAAGGTACGAGGTGAAATTCTCTAGATGTCGGACCGAGGATTTAGAGATACATAACTTATCACTTTGTACGCAAAAAAATAGGGAAGAATTGCTATTGTTAGGAGTAAGACATTATGAACTAATGGGGAACACATATACCCTAGTTAGTCTCACAACTTGATAAAAACTCAATTTTTATGTTTGATTACTTGCTAATTTAGAAGTGTTAAAGAAACTTATTTCACAAAACTCCCCTTTAATTACTTGTTTTCAAAAAAACCTTGGCTAAATTGATATAATTGTACATTGAAGTTAAATCTAAACAATTTTCCTCATGGGATCGACCAACCTACTAGTTCGGTTCTCTACTTGATTACGACCGCTTATACTTCTTTAGGGAGGTGTCATTTAAACGTACCAAATTTTGGCGCCGCTGCCGGGGAATCTGAATTTTAGATTAACTTTGAATACATTATTGATATTTAGTCAACAATTTCCTGATTTTACGTTTTATTTTTCTTGTTATCTTGTTCATGTCTAGTTTTAGTGTATGCCAAGTACACGAAGACGAGGAGAACCACTCATTCCATTCGATTATGAACTTAATCGTACATTGTGAAGAATGGAAAATCAATATAAACCAGCCAATCTAGGTGATGGGGCAATTCGTCAACCTCCATCATTGGTTGAGGCACACAATCAAGTTCAAGTTGAAAATCAATTGGAGAATGATTTGAGGATGCAACCCACAACACCACAACCTCAAGATTACTATAGGGGCAACTTTAACATTGCCGACTCTGATGGACCTCTTGTCCTACCCCCTTTTCCACTTGGGCACACATTCATGGTGACGAGTAGTTCGATGCAGATGCTCACCGCGAGGGTTTGTTCTCAGGACTGTCATCAGAGGACTCTCTACTCACATAGACAAACTAATATCTGTGTGTAAGAGTTGTGTGGGTAGGCCATATTTGGATATGAATATTATCGGGTTGCAAATGTTTTCTCTATGACCGACCGGAGATGCCGCCATATGGTTTAGTGAGTTTCCCTACAGCTCCATTTATACTTGGGATCAGTTGATAGATGCATTCTTAGCAAGGTATTACCCATTGTCCAAGAAGCTCAACCACAAAGATGAAATAAACAACTTTGTGTCATTACCGGGGAGACAATGAGTAGCTCTTAGGACCAATTTACTGCACTTGTACGAGGCTTCCCAAACCACAGTATTGATAATGAGTCGTTGAAGGAGTACTTCTATCGGGTCAATATGATAACAATAAAGCAGTACTCGACACTATTGCGGGGGGTTCCTATGGAGAGTGCACATATGCAGAGATCGTAGAAAAGTTAGAGAAGATATCTCACAACAACAAGTCTCGGAGCACTATAAAGTGGGACACTAAGAGAAACACCTTTGTAGTACAAGCTACAAACAACCTAACAGCAGATGAAACGCGTGAAGAATTGGCACAGATGAGAAATGAGGTAGGGTTGATTTTGAAACATGTGAGCAGAGTGCAGAAAAGGTAAATGCAATGAACTACTTGACTAAACCACTACTATCAGTACATGAGTACTATTATGAAGAAGATGCTTATGCAGTGAATGACCATACGAGGCGTTTCCGACCAAACACCCAACGCTCCAATCAGGAGAATTGGCGCTAAGGTCAAGGAAATCAAGGTCGGAACTATGGTAACTACAATTGAGAGGGTTAATATTTTTGAGATGGAAACTACACCACGACAACAACTTCAACCGGGGTAACTATGGTACTAGGATTGATTAAAATGGGTCCTATATTCCCCCACAAAATTGGGAAGTTGCTCTTATGGACGGTGAAGATAGTGACGTAAGTTAATAATATGATACAAAAGATGATGAGGAGATTTGACACTAGTGATGAGAATGCCAAGGAGATAAGAGGTGATTTAGCTAATATTTTGCAGAAGGTGGATGAATATGTGATTTCAATTAAGCATTTTGAGCTATAGATAACTCAATTGTCTATTATTGTGAACCATGCCAACCTGGCACTCTTCCTAGCAACACCATCCAAAATCCTAAAAATGATGGGCATTGCATGGCGGTCACTACTCGAGGAGGTAAGCAAACCATTGATCCACCTATGTCGTCTATTGTAGAAGATGATAGGATAAAAGACAAAAAGGTTGTAGAGGCTAGTGGAGAGTTAGGGGAAAACACGATTATAAAAGCAGAGGTGTCTCAGAAAGTGGTCCCCGTTCCTAGACCTCCACCTCCATTCTCTCAGAGATTAGTTATGAAGACTGAAGATGGTACATACCGGCGATTTATCACTATATTGAAACAACTTTCCATCAATGTCCCTTTGATACAAGCTTTGGAAGAAAATGCCCGATTATGCTAAGTTTATGAAGGATATGGTGACAAAGAAGAGATCAGTGAGTTTTGAGGATGATGACAGAAAACGGTGTTGTAGTGCTATTGCTACAAGATCTCTTGTGCAGAAAAAGGAAGATCCTGGCGCTTTCACTATTCCACGTACAATCGGGTTGCTACACTTTGCTAAAGCACTATGTGATATTGGTGCAAGCATAAACCTCATGCCTCTTTCCATTTATAAGAAGTTAGGCTTGGGTGACCCAAAACCTACTACGATGCGATTAATGATGGTTGATCGAATAGTGAACAGGCCTATTAATATACTCCATGATGTGCTTGTGAAAGTAAAGTCATTCATATTTTCGATCGATTTTATGATTCTTCACTGTGAGGTTGATTTTGAGGTTCCCATTATTCTAGGGAGGCCATTCCTTGACACCGGACGTGCATTGGTTGATATGGAAAAGGGGCAGATGATGTTTAGATTGAACAATGAAGAAGAAACTTTCCGCATGTATAGGTCCATGAAGCAAAGTGGTGATCTCCAAACGGTATCAACTATATCTTATAAGGTTGAGAGTATATACGAGGTACAAACTGAAGAGCGACTAGGCGTCGAGGCACTAGCGTAGTGATTATGAATTTTGAGAGTGATGGTATTGAAGATTATGGGTCTCTAGTGGTTGCACTTGAACAAAATCAATATCGGTCAAAACCAAAGAAATTTGAGTTATATATGAAGCATCGCGAGTCTCCACCTAGGAAACCATCTATTGAAGAGGCTCCAAAATTAGATCTTAAAGCTCTACCACCTCATCTGATGTATGTGTTGTTGGGTAGAGATGACACTTTGTAGGTGATAATCGCAGTGGATTTGAATGGGTAACAAGTAGAGTGTTTAGTGCAGGTTTTGAAGAGGTCCAAACGAGCCTATGGTTGGACTATTACGGACATAATTGGGATTCCCCTTGGTTTTTTTTCACAGTAAATACAAATCATACCCGATCACAAACCAAGCATGGAGCACCAAAGAATATTGAATTCACATATGCAAGAGGTAGTGAAAAAGGAGATCATCAAGTAGTTGGATGGTGGAATCATTTATCCTATTGCAAACAGTAGTTGGGTGTGCCCTGTTTAGTAAAAAGGGTGGGATGACAGTGGTGCCTAACGAGAGGAACAAGCTCGTTCCAATGTGGCCAGTGACCGGATTGAGAGTTTGTATGGATTACCAGAAGTTGAATGCATGGACTGAGAAGGACCATTTCCCCATGCCCTTTATGGATCATATGTTAGATAGACTTACATTAAAAGGGTGATATTATTTTCTTGATGGCTATTTGGGTTACAATCAAATCTCTATTGCCCTAAGGATCAAGATAAGACCACTTTTACTTAGCCTTATGGGACATTCACATTCAAAAGGATGTCGTTTGGGTTGTATAATGCACCGTCCACTTTCCAAAGTGATGTATGATGTCGATATTCTCAGATATGGTCGAAGACACTATTGAGGTGTTCATGGATGACTTTTCTGTGGTTAGACACTCCTTTGATCGGTGTTTGAGCAATTTGACTGAGGTGCTCAAAAGGTGTTAGGACTGTAATCTAGTGCTTAATTGGGAAAATTTTAACTTCATGGTGAAAGAAGGTATAGTATTTGGCCATCGCATCTTGGAGAAGAGGATAGAGGTTGATTAAGCTAAAGTCGAAGTTATAGAGAGTCTTCCTCTATCCATCTCTGTAAACGGTGTGATAAGTTTTCTTAGACATGCGGGTTTTTACCGAAGGTTTATCAATGATTTTTCAAAAATTGCACATCCTTTTTCTGAATTGATATAAAAGGAATGTAAGTTTTATTTCGATGAATCCTATCTGAAAGTATTTGGAGAGTTGAAAGAGAAGTTGGTGTCCATGCGTATTGTTAATTCCCTAGATTGGCATAAACCATTTGAGGTGATCTGTGATGACAGTGGGGTTGCTCTTGGTGTGGTATTGGGATAGAGAAGGAGAATATCATTTACCACATTTATTATGCAAGTAAGGCCCTGGATGAAGCTCAAAAGAACTACACACTAATCAAACAAGAGCTTCTTGAGGTGGTGCTTTCTTTTGAAAAATTTCACTCTTATTTGCTTGACACGAGGTTCATTGTGCATATAGACCACTCCGCGTTGAGGTATTTGATGTCTAAGAAGGATGTGAAGCCAAGGTTGATTAGATGGGTGTTGTTACTGCAGGATTTTAACTTTGAGGTAAAAGACAAAAAGGGGACTGAAAATCAAGTTATCGACTTGTCTAGGTTAGAGGATGAAGTTATGCGTGAAATGGGAGATAAGGCTGAAATTGATGATGCATTCCCTGATGAACATGTATTGTCTGCTTCTCAAGATATGATTCCATAATTCGCATATTTTGTGAGTTATCTGGATAGTGATATAGTTCTATCGAAGATGTATTTCCATCAGAGGAAGAAGCTCGTGTATAATGTGAAAAATTTCTTTTGGGATGAGCCTTACTAATACCGATGTTGTGCAGTTGGGATTATTTGTTGTTGTGTACCAGAAGCTAAGATGTTGAGTGTTTTGGAGGCATGTCACTCCTCTACTGTGTGTGTGCAACATAATGGTTTCTAGACTGCGCATAAGATTTTGCAATGTGGGTAATATCGGCCAACCATTCATCAAAATGCTCACGAGTTTGCCAAATCATGTGATCGGTGCTAGCGAGATATATTATTTTCGAAGAGGATAAAGCTCTCGTTAAATCCTATTCTAGTGATTGAGTTATTTGATGTATGTGCATTTATTTTATGGGCCCATTTATGAGTTCTCATGGGATGAAATATATACTTGTGGCAGTTGACTATGTGTCTAAATGGGTGGAAGTTGTAGCACTTCTAACAATGAAGGAAAGAGTGTCACCACATTCTTGAAAAAGATTATCTTTTCCAAATTCAGCACACCTTTGTGGCTCTCATCTTTGTAATAAGTTGTTCAAAGGGCTATTGGAGAAATATGGGGTTCGCCATAATGTGGCTACTCCTTATCATCCAAGGACTAGCGGGAAAGTTGAGGTGTCCAACTAATAGATCAAGCAAATTCTAGTGAAAACGGTGAATGTTACTAAATGGATTGATCAAGTAGGCCTAATGATACTCTTTGGGCCTACAGGACTGCATACAAGACTCCCATTGGATGTCACCATACCAACTTGTATATGCGAAAGCTTGTCACTTGCCAGTTGAGTTAGAGCACAAAACAATGTGGGCAAAGAATAAAATGAAGATGGATTGGAATGAATAGGCGGAACAAAGACTAAATGGGTTGAATGAGTTTGATGAGTTTCGCCTCAAAGCCTATGTAAGTTCATTCATCTACAAAGAGAAGATGAAGAAGTACCACGACCAAAAGATTGGAAAGCGAGAATTTGTAGTTGGTTATTTGGTGCTTCTATTCAACTCTAGAATGTGCTTGTTTCCGGGAAGCTCAAGTCCAAGTGGATAGGGCCATTGCTCAACACTAAAGTGTTCTCACACGAGCGGTTAAAATGAAGAATAAGGAGGGTGCAAAGTTAATAGTCAACGGGCAAAGGATTAAGATCTACCTGGGGCATGCGGAGAGTGTCCATGAAGTGGTTGAGTCCTATCACCTTGATGAAGTCTGAGTAATCAAGAAGCATGTGTCGTGCCGCGGCGTTAAATCAAGCTCTTATTTGGAGGCAAGACAAGGTGTATCCTCTAGCTAACGATAGGTTTTATTTTCTTTGTAGGAACAATTGTATTTTCGTATTTCATTTTGTTTTTATTCTTATTTCATTCGTACTTGACTGCTAGTGTTGGATAGAGATTAGTATAGGGTCCGCATCTCAAAAGTGTCCAAAAAAACACAAAAAGAATGTACTAACGGGTGTTACATGTGTAGGGACCAAAATGAAAAAAATCTGTAGAAAAATGATCGATGCATAGGTCTACGGACCCCATTGACGGGTCGTCGTTCAATCGACGGAACGTCGATGGTGTCCATAGATCACAGGTATGTCCCTTAAATTTTCTAAGTCTAGATGGAAATGATAGTCAGAGTCGACGGACCGTCGGCTGACCTACAAACTATTGATAGAGTTTCGTAGGTCTAAAATGCCAGTGACCCGACCCGACCCGGTCGGTAATATTAAAGGACATAACGGTTTATATTCATTCCTACCTTCAATTCCTTTAGAAAATTCTTCCAAAACCATTTATATTCCTTTATTTTTTTTCCTTTCTCACACACCATCATACTCCCATCTTCCATATCAATCCCAAATCAGAATCCCCTAAAAACTCCTAATTTTGTCTTCCCATACACTCTTGCTTCCTCGTTGTTCTTCGACCGGTGATCAAAGCTCGAGCGCATAGGCTACTGTTAAAAGTTCATATCACAACCACACCACTACGAACTGAAGGTACATCAATTTACACTTTGAATTCTCATTCATAGTTGTTTAACCAAAATTTAAATGTAGGTCTTGACTGAGTGACTAAGTTAATTGATCTTGCATGCTAATAACTCGTGTATTACGTCCCTCGAAATGAAAGAATGTTGTTGTACCGCTAATCAATATGCCTATAATTTGAATTTCTCTGTAGTTTTAGAAATTTCAACTTAGTGTTTCATAGTATGGATGAACTAGAACACAAATTATGTGAAACCAAAATTCTAGGAATGATAAATACGTTTTTTTGGGTGTTATAATTCTTGTCTACACTTGCGGGGGTCCAAAATTGTCCATAAAATTAATCTTGCAAAAAAGGCGTGAAGTATGTCTCAGGCTAACAGTACGAGACCCCGTAGACGGACCGTCAATGGATCGACGGGACGTCGATGGATCGAACGGGCTATTGATGGGGTCCATCGATTGTACCACCCATACATTGTTGAAGTCTGAAATAACGGAAGTGGAATACGGTTCCGCACGTGCGTCATTTCTTTCCGACATGTTAGACGACGGAAGTGGACTGTATGTCGATTGATCGATGGTCCATTCTGCTCGTCCGTCATTTCGATATGAGATGTCTGATTTCTTACTTAGATAAATAATTCCAAGTGTCGACCGACGAACCCTATTGACAGACCGTCATTTGATCGACGGACTGTCAATAGTGCCGTCGACATGAAAATGCAGAACTGAAATCTTTGATTATTTTTTATGTTTTTCTAGTTATGTGTGTTTCAAGTGTGTAGTAATGCTGAATTGATGTAACAACTACTCTAAAGGTACTAATGTCTCTCAAAAAGGATATGGTCTACCAAAAGGTCAAGTCCTAGTCAGTGGCCCCTACCGTCGGCTGATTTACGACTCCGATAATGAACAAGACCTAACATACATTCCCACAGGTGCTACAACAACACCACCAGCTACACGAGTCACTCGGGTACCCCCGAAAGGTAGATACCAGTGTAGTCACTTCCTCCAAGTCTAATGAGGAGTGCACATTGACCGGCACACCTTTCGAAGCTACCTCGAGTTCTAAAAGAGCATCTGACTCTGAATCTGCCTCAACATCAGGGTCGGCCCACTCTTCAGGGTCGAATGAGGACACTGCCTCAGGTTCCGTCTCTCAAGGGAACACTCAGCTAGAGGTCCATAATCA